GGATCCTGCGAAAGTTACTTTGTAGCCTATTTTGAAGGGAGGTAATGGGGGCGTCTCCCCAAAGGCGGAGAACCAGCCCTGGGAGTGAGGACGTGACACCCCGCCCCCACAGAAGGCAGGAAGGCACTTGATGAACTCCCATGAGCCAGGTATTCAGGTGAAGAAGGTAGGATTCCTTTGCACCGATGTCTGCTCCCTGGTCAGTCTTAGCCTGGGGTCTCCAGAGAAGATGCTGGAAAAAGCAAAGGAGCAATTTAAAACCACAGTGCCTCTGCTGCCGGCTGGAGGGGGATGTTCCAGGGAGCAGGAGCCCCACCTGAGACAGCAGAGCCATGCTCCCTTGGAGCCCCAGAGAAAGAGCAACAAGTAGCCCCCACCCCCCGAGAGCCAGCAGGAGATTCTGTATCTGAAAAAGAAAGACAGCTGGGGTTCAGGTAGGACTGGCTGTATTCCCTTTGGGGTGTGTGTGTGTGTGTGTGTGTGTGTGTGTGTGTGTGTGTGTGTATTCTGCCCCAGGATTTGCCAGATGGAAGCACAGCTGAAGCTAAAGGTGGGAGCAAAGGATTAGGCTTCCAGCCACCTACCTCTTTTTTCCTGAAAATCCGCTGCAAGTCAGCCCCTGCTAGCCAGGTGAGTGAGGCTTGCCCCATGCCAGGGATCAAATGGCTTAAACCCGTAGAACCAATGATGCTAAATCCCCATCAGGAAAGGAACAGAAAGTTCTAGTGGCCAACCCAATGCACTGCTGCCTAGGTGGGGCAAAGCCACAAGGAGGTGTCTTGTTGAGCCAACCTAGTGTCCCCAGGGCATTCTAAGCTTTAAATAACGCTCCTTGGAACTCCGTGGTGAAGAAGGCAGTTTAGGGAATGTCCCTACTGGTGTGTCTCTGTTCTGAAATATTTCTCTATTTTATCTGGCCTCTTACTAAACCAGATCCAAACTGAGAACAGTGTTAAGGCGCACTCTGAGGCAACACGTGACATTAAGTCAGTGGTTTATTGATCCAGGGAGCTCAAAGAGCAGAAGCAGTAAGCACAACAGACAGAGGCTAGTCAACCTCATGCTCGTGCCATCCCAGAGGTCCCAGACCTCTGCCAGTAGGGCTTCCTGAATGGGGCATAGAGTTTTCAAAACGGGTGCCAAAACTAAGAATCCATCATATCAGGACCTGTGAAGGTGCCATATCATCTCACTTAACCCTTTCAGCCATCTGGACAGGTGTGTGTTGTTTTTACCCCTAATCTACAGATGAGGAAACAGAAAAAAAAAGTGCCCTGACCCAGTTACACAGCTACTAAGTGCCAGAGCTGGGACTTGAACTCAGTCATACTTGCCTCCAAAACACAGCTTGAAAACGCAGATTCAAAACACTGCTTCCCAAATTCAAGAAAGGGGCAAGCATTTCTACCCTATTTTCCCCATTACATCTGCCTGCCAGAATCTTAAAAGTTTATGTAAAGACCTTAACTGAGATGTCACGTATACAGTCCAGGTGTTCACAACACCTTATTATCTCAAGGCTGTGCCCTTGGGGCATATTCTAGGGAAGGGAAGTGGAATGTACATTTCAAGAACAGGTGTGGGTGAGGAGCCTTTGATTGCCCAGAGCCAGTTTGCAGGTCAACCTGAGGTCACATCTTCTCTATGACCTCCTCCAACACTCCACCCTTCATGACTCCTTTTACAATCTTACATGACCCTGAACGGTCGGCCAGGGGTTTCACTAGCATGGAGGTGGATTGTTCGGGGTGGCTATCTGGCTGCAGCAACAATATAGGCATATTCAAGAGAAAGCACAAATTAAGATAATGATTCCCAAAACAATTTTTTTTTCCTCAAAAGTCCCATGATCTGACCCACTGATTTATTAAGTTGGGGGGTCAGATCACTCAGGGCATTCACATGTGTCCTCATGTGACTTATTAAAGATGATACATTAGCAGACTCAACACGTATGAACACACAACATTCTGTTTGGATAATGGCACTGATACTGGTGTCTCCTTGCAAGGCAGTAATAATGTCCAAGGCTATCTTATTTTGGAGGACAGCTTCCTCATTAAAGACATTTCGGTGTTCAGTCAAGATTTTTCGGCTATCATTTAAGACTTTCTGGGTGAATTTAGTAAGGGCTTCTACGTGTGCCGTAATGTTCTTCAGGCCACTGGAAGGGACAAAGGCAGCAGCCAAATGAAAACAGAAAGTGCTCACCTGGCCTGGAGGACAGGGAGGTTGGCAGCTTTAGGAACTTCACCTGGTTGTGCAATACCATTCACGTTGCCAAGGAGGCAGCACTGTCAGGCGTAAGGAGATGGACCAGGGTCAGAATATGCCTGACCAGTATCTTCACCTTCTCCCTTCTTTCAATGATGTGTGTTCCATTCCTCGTGCATTTCAACAGGTTCGGTTTGCAGGAGGACAGCAGCATCCTAGTGGAGCTTGAGTAGTTCCCCCTCACCTAGGGGGCCAAGTAACCTATCCATTCCACTGGGGCTTCCCATTGCAAATTCTAGTAGATAATGGCTCTCCCAGGTGTAATGGGACTTGGTGTTCTCAACATCATAGCATGTTATTCCATGGTAAGAGTGGGGGAAATGGCTGTTTCCAACAATTTCCATACCTTTACAGCATTGTATGTGTCTGCAGGGTTCCCCAGTCTGGCATATTAGGCAACAGGCCCTACTAGTTGATCATTCAAATGTATTAAAGACTGGGGTAGTACTTTAGTCCACTCGGCTGACCACCGATGGTTGTTGGCGCCAATTCACCGCCAAGGAGAATCCACAATTTAGGGTGTGATAAAGGAGAAAGCTTTATTCAAAGCAAACAGCTCAACTACGATATCACGCAACTGTAAAACAGCTCAATAGTGTTAAAGCACAATTACGAAATAGCACAACTGTGGAACAGGAGAGGGGGCCGAGAGGCTAGACTGCAAGGCAGCCTGCGGGTGGGGCTCCTCGGCACTCCTCAGCTCCAGTCGGTCCCCTCTGGTCTGTCTGCTCTGGTCCCACAAAATGTCTACCAAGCTCGGGGAAGTGAAACACAGCCTCAAGTAGGAAAAGAATATGTACTCCCTGACTTATATAGAGAGAAGTCCCCAACCGGGATCTCTGATTAGTCTGTCCTCATACAAATAAGGACTCCAAATCCTCACAGTTTGATTCGTCTAAAAATCGCTGTCTTGATTGGTCAGAGGAGAATTGCTCTGATTGGTCAGCGAAAATGCAATTGAGGACAAAGCTGCATAGCTCCGATTGGATGGGGAAAATCTCAGTCCTATTGGTTGAAACACTGTTCCTGGAACTTCTCCATAAGGGTTGGCTCAGCTAGGAGGAACATGGTGCAAGTGGGAAGTTCAGTGCTAGCAGAAGGCAATTCAGTGCGGGCTTCTTCCTAAAGCTCAGCTTGCATGAAAGGCCCCTGTTTAGAAACCGCTACTAGGCTCTGTTTTTAAATGTGAGCCCACTTAGACAAATTGATCTTAGTTATCAGAAACTGATAACTAAGTACTTCCACGAATCTCCTTGAAGATGAAGCACTTTTGCAGGAACTTTTGCAAAAGCATCAGAGTAAATGACAAAAGACTTAAAAATGGTCATGGTTAAAGATCTAATGAGAGTTCATTGTAATGCAATTGACAAGGAAATTTGGTTATTCCTGTGACGTATGTTATTATGATTGATAACATTATACCAGGATATATCAGATTTTTAGGAATTTCATACAAATACATCCTAAAGAAAGTTTACATCACTTCTATTTGACGGTGTTTCCCATTTAATTTAGCATATTGAACAAGCATAATTAGTATATTATCACTCTTTTATAAGGAGAGAGAACACATCTTTTGAGATGTTCCAGGACCCTCTGGATATCCCAAAATTAATTCAAGGTCAACAATATTTATTTAGAATTTGATTTGGGAGAAATTTGTCAAAAACATCAAAAAGTTTTAAAACACTTAATTAAATAGAATCATAAGTCACTGCAAAACAACGCATTACTCCAGTGGTCCCCAACCTTTTTGGCACCAGGAACCAGTGCTCCTATGAGAGTCTAATGCCTGATGATCTGAGGTGGAGCTGAGGCAGTGATGCAAGTGATGGGGAGCAGCTGCAAATACAAATGAAGCTTCTCTCACTCGCCTGCTGCTCACCTCGTATTGGGCAGCCCAGTTCCTAACAGGCCACAGACCAGTACCGGTACCGGCCCACAGCTCAGCGGTTGGGGTCTCCTGCATTATCCATTTAACTGAAGAGGCAATTAAAGACTTTAAAGGCAAATATAGAAAGTTACATAGTTGTAAAAAAAGAAAGAAAGAAAGAAAGAAAGAAAGAAAGAAAGAAAGAAAGAAAGAAAGAAAGAAAGAAAGAAAGAAAGAAAGAAAGAAAGAAAGA